GTGTGAAAAATGAAGCATCACTGCTCGCTGTCCTCCCCTGTAGGAAGAAGATGTAGAAGTTAAAATGCCACAGAAAACACAGAAAACATTACTTTTCACGTGACAAGTAAACAGGTCTTCTTAAGTGACCATTTGGTGAAATAATAAATAAAATTCCATACTGACACATGAATGAATGTTTTCCATTTGATTTGTTTGTTCTTTAAATAATGAATATTGGCAAAATGATCAGATGCAGATGCACACAGGTGTCTTTTTTTTTTTTTCTTTTTAATCTCTGGGAGGTCATAACCCTCAAGCAGGTGTTTGATGTTGTGAGGCCCAGATAAAATGCCCCCACAACACAGAAATGTCCTCATTACGAGGGTTTTGAACAAAAATTTGTCCACACAAAGACAGTAAAAAGCACAGACAGCACACACACACTGTTTGGTGCTCTGCAGGTAATGTGCAGTAAGATTTTTGAACTTTTTCTCTGAAACAAGCTACACTCTGTGGCCAGAAAACAACACTATAGGAGCGTGAAAGTAATAGAATAATAGAATAGAATAGAAATACTTCCATTAATCTCCAAGGGGAAATCAAAGCATCGAGCTGAAATTCACTACAAAGCTTCATAAACTCAAGGGGAGTTGCACATTACAGTGAAAACTCTTCAGTAGTTCCTCTTTAAGTTGAATTATGATTCCCTTTCCCTTTTAGTATTTATTTATTTATTTATTAAAGAAATTGTCGTAACAAATCATATAATTTAAAGTTACTTTAAACTTTATCCATTCATTATTATTAAGGGCTCAGTAATAATTTTGCCCTGGGTAGAGAAAGAATCAAAGAATGTTTTAAGGACATTTCTCATTTCAGATTCAGGTTCCCATAAGGTTCAAAACTTGAATTAGATGTAATGTTTTAGCAGGTGTTGAAGATCAGACTCTGACTGAATCTGAATCAGTGGTTAAAAGACTTGGAGAATCCCACACACTGTCCTGTACAGGTTCTGGATTCAGATTCAGCAGCTACCATATGAACTGGGTCAGACAGGCTCCTGGTAAAGGACTGGAGTGGATCGCTTTTGTGCACACAGGCAGTTCTTATATCTATTACTCCCAGTCAGTCCAGGGTAGATTCACCATCTCCAGAGACGATTCCAGCAGTAAAGTCTATCTACAGATGAACAGTGTGAGGACCGAGGACACAGCAGTGTATTACTGTGCCAGACACACAGCGAGAGACAGAAATAGAAGCGTCGTACAAAAACTACTTCCTCTATTTACCACAAACACTGGAAACATTCAGTTAACTCAGTGTCCTGCATTATGAACCTGTTTCATAAATGTCAAGGCCAGTATTCCTCCAAACAGAGTCACATTTTAGGATGCATCATGAAGTCATACCTGCTGATCATTTTAATTCAGATAAATGTTGTCAAAGTTTATGTTCAGTTTTAGCTTTAACAACCACTAATGTCATCAGAACAGAACTTGTTCTTGCTGGTTTTCCATCTTACATTCCATTAACAGTCAACATAGATGCAATTTCCAGAAAATCATTTATACAAACTGACTATTTACAAAAAGAATCATGAGAATAATTAAACTACAAATATAACTCTCAGCTCCGTCAACACTGACAGAACAGTAGCGCTGCTGAGGAACCCGTTTATCACTAACATCTACATTTAAACCCACCATTAGGGCTTTTACAGCAGTTTGCCACTTAACAGAAGTTGCAGTGATGAGAGCCTCTTTGTATTTGACTGAGAGGTCAGTGTTAAAGATTATTAAAGGCTTGTGGGTGAATGTCACAAAGAGAATTGTACTGATTATAGATTTAGTGAACAGACGGACATCAGTGGCACCAGAACATTACTGATGAGGAGCAGAGGACTAAGTACAGCAGCCTGGAGGAGGCTTTTGGGGAGAGTAGTCATGTAGAGTTGCAGTTCTTGATGCTGATAAGCTGTTTTCTAGTCTGAGTCAAGCATCGTGGTGAAGAAGAGCAGAAAGCTGTGGTTAAGTTTCAAAAGCAGAAACATCCTGAGATGAGGGCTGAAGAGAGGAAGAGATCCTGAGAATCATGTGCTTAATGCATTTCAGAATATTCCTGAGGGGTGATGTTTTCAAAAATATACACAGTGCACTGTAATCTACTGTGTAACTAAACATACCTGCATCTGTCACCTATATATGTTTGCATTTTAAAATCATGTTGCATGTTTACAAAACAGTATCTTGTGTCAATGGATCCAACATTTAGCAGTTTTTCACAACACCAGCAGAAGTCCCCCTCCTGTTTTTACATACTTCCTGTTCCAGCCTGCAGAGGGAGGTCTATGCAAACTTATTCCTCTTCATAAACTCACCATCACTGACTGTCAGATGAGGCAGAACAACTGACACAGTCTCATAAGTCTGAGAAAGACTTTGATCATCCGAACAGTCGGAAGTTTTCACGATGAACTGGAGCAGTCTCCATCTGAGGTGAAAAGACCTGGAGAGACAGTGAAGATCTCATGTATCACATCTGGTTATAGGATGACAAGTTATGCTGTGAGCTGGATAAAGCAAAAGTCAGGAGAAGCTCTGGAGTGGATTGGGGTGATGAGCACAAATACAGCAAATGCTGCCTATGCAAGGTCCTTTCAAAGTCGATTCAGTTTGACTCAGGATGTGTCCAGCAGCACTCAGTACCTGCAGATCAAGAGCCTGACAGCTGAAGATTCTGCTGTTTACTTCTGTGCTCGTCACCACAGTGACTGAAGACAGTGAAGCAGCTGCACAAAATCCTCCACAGACAACAAGTGCACGGAGTCGTCATAACAACATCTGGGTTTTCTAACCAGCAGAATAAAATAATACATTAACACCTTGTATGTCTTTTTAAAACACAAGTACAGCTCTGATGCACCGTTTCAGACAAACATGAAGCAAAGATTTGATGCTCACAACATTTACTCAGTCCCTGTCAGTTGCTGATATATTGAACTTTGTGTTCTCCTGTCATATTTTTACTCACCGTGGACTCATTTTCACTGCAATCTAAAGTCCTGCACATCCGTAGAAACAGAACAACCAAGACAGAGGAGAACTGAGAACTGTCTTTTGTGCAAAATGTCAAATTTCTAATGTCACACATCATCAAAATAATAATATTTGAAAGCTGAATTTCTTTGATTATGCATTTTACTAAAACTGACCTGGACAGTAGAGCTTTATACTTCTGACCATTTTGGGGGGGGGAATTTTTGGTCATTTTTGCAAAAAAAAAACAAAAAAAGGAGGGGTGGTGAAATCCCCCCAGTTTGACCAAATTTCCTCAAACATAGACTGAAGTAGTTAAACTGGCAAAGTTTCATTGAAATCGGTGAGATGGCTTGTGCCACCCCCGCCTGGTCCTATCGTGGATGCACTCTTAATAGGGTCGTAATATATTTTTACATTTTTAATCTGCAATTTAAATGCTGGACAGGCTTTATGGTTTCACCTAAAAAATGCACTTGTCGTTTCATCCATCCGTCGCTAGAGGGAGAAATTCCATCCGTGTCGCTGTTTTGTGCTGGGGGGAAGTGGGAAGTAGGAAGAGCCGTACAGCTGTGCTCCGTGGCTAACACACGAGCTAACAGGCTAACCTCAGCGGTGAAAATATCAGCACGGGTTCTTCTAAACAAGACGCCCCGACACACACTTTGAGACTTTTCTTCAAATATGGGGAAAGGCGGAGGCACGTTTGAAAGGCTTCTCGGTAAGTTAACGGCACACGCGTCAAGTTGATAGCTCATTTGTCAACTGTGAGTCAAAGTGCGATGTTTTTCAGCGTATTGTTTTGACAGAAGCTGGGGCTGTGGCTGTCGGGCCAGCTAGCTCGGCTTTAGCCTGCTAACAAATTCGCTGCTATTGTTCGAAGGCCCAGATAGGCTCACTTAAATGTGGCGACCCGACTGAGAAGTTAGCTAATGCAGCCTCGTTTCTCCGTTTTCACCTGAAGTGTAATAAAAACGGCGTTTCATGCATTTATATTGTGTTATTGCTGTGCTTTTAGTTGAACTAAACCAGGTTGTTGATTGCTGAGGTGAGGTCATGCCAGTTTATTATTAACGTTAGCGAGTGGTTTACACTAGTAATGCTTACTGTGTAACTATTGGCATGTCTAAGGAGCAGCTAAACACAACAATGTCATTTGTCAGAGACTTTGGCTTTCAAGTGTTGTCCTAAGTTTTTAAGACCACAACAGGTTGACTAGCGGGTATAATTAGCTACTACCGTAATCTGCATACCCTGTTTAGCTCAACGTTACACTGAATTAGATACGCTCCCATTATAAGACGCTGGCGAGGTTACCGTCAGGTGGCTAACAGTTAGCCGACTGTAACACCTTTCCTGGAAAAAAGTAACTGTGTCATACCAGCTGCTGCATGTCGAAACAAACAATCACCTCAGATCAGGCCAAAGGTGAAGTGACAATTATGAATCAGCGCTTTGCTTACTTGATTTTAAGAAAAGGAAAACATATTACAGTGCTTGTGCTGGTGTGTGCAAATTTGAAGTAGGACACAGTTTTGATTTTTTACTTACTGAGGGTCGAAATGGCAAAACCCACTTCATGGCCCTGAGTATGAAAGTTGATGTTGTGCCAGCACAGTTAATCAGAGAACCATAAACCCTATCACCAGACTGGTAAACTACAGTTTTGAGGTCTTTGGCAAAAATCAAATGTCACACTTAATAAGATAATATTTGGAGAACGAGTGTTGACAGTCTGACATGATGATTATGAACAAAACTGTATTAGGTGACGCCTCATGGGTCTGATTTGCAAACAGGCTTAAATCCAGTCTAAGTTGCATTGCATAGTTTTTATGATATGGAAGGACCATAATTATATTAAAACATGGTTGCTGTTGATATCCACAGTATCACAAGATTCAGCAGATCAAACCTGGAGCTTTTCTTCTATAGCAACAATAACAATTCACTTGTCACTTTAGTTAAATTCAGAGCACCTATGCCTACATTTAGAGAGACACAACATATGTGTAGAGATACAGCATAGTTTTTAGTAACACCAGCCAAAAATGTTTACCTAAAACCTACAGTGTGTAGGACTGTAGTTAAGGAAGCAGGAAGTCCAAATCGATAAACGTCGTTCATTAGTCCATGGGAGGTTGTTGAAGCAGATATTGTGTGCTAGCTTTTTGTCAGACATTCCACATGTTTAAGCCTTGATCATCTGTACTATCTGCAGATAAAGCCACCAGTCAGCTGCTCCTGGAGACTGACTGGGAATCCATTCTGCAGATCTGTGATCTCATCAGACAAGGAGATACGCAGTAAGTGATTCTGCCTGCTCCCCTCAACTTTCGTATCCGTAACGTTCATATGAACGTCATTCAACTATTATTTACATTTTTTCATGTTAAATATACTTCGCTTACAGGATTTGTCATCTTGATTCTGCATTGAACAATATTTGTAATGTTTGTCCTTGCAGAGCTAAATACGCTATCGGGGCCATTAAAAAGAAGCTGAATGATAAAAATCCACATGTGGCCCTTTATGCACTTGAGGTAAGACAAATGGAATATGTACAATTGAAAATAAGTGATAATGCAATAACACAAAATTACTTTACCAGGTAAGAATTCCACTAAATTTTATAGCTGGAAGTTGTCTGTTTGTTGTGTGGCAGTGTGTTCTTCTGTCACTTGCGAAAGTAGCTATTCTGTAATGTTGGTGACATAGATGGCGTAATGATGTTACCTCACCCTTCAGGTCCTGGAGTCAGTGGTGAAGAACTGTGGCCAAACGGTGCACGATGAGGTGGCAAGTAAACAAACTATGGAGGAACTGAAGGATCTACTGAAGGTGACATTCATTTTATGAAACTGTTTAACATCACGCTCCTCTGTTTAACCTCCACTGTACTGTCCTCTGTGTCATTCTATTCAAGTTGCTGCAGTCTGCGTCTTCAATCTACTAACAAACATACATTTGCATGACTTTTGACCATAACTGCTTTTTTTTATTGTGAGGCCGAATTTACTGACATAGACACACTGAAACAGTTGCTTTTGATTAATCAGTTTGATCTTTCTCCATCCCTAAACACCTAGACTTGCTTTATGATCTTTTGTTATTGCACTGCTATCACTCCTGAGTTTTAGACTCCAAACCAGAGCCTTCATCTGCTCTGTACCAGACCTCACCACAAATCATGTCTGTAAACTTAAAGATATTCAGTTTGCAATTCTGTAAAGCTCCAAATCTGCATATTATCCTAATATTTATGAAACTGAAACAAGCAAACATTGGGTTTTTCCCCTC